CCCAACCAGTAACACCATCGTCTTGTCAGGCGTAAGTTTCAACTTGTTCTCCCTGAAACATTTAAACTTAACAGTCAGGTGCTGCGGTGGCTCAAGTGGTTAAGACACTGAACTGCAGACTGGAAGGTCGGTAGTTCAGCAGTTCGAGACTCGAGTGCCGCGTGACGGCGTGAGCTCCCGTCTCTAGTTCCAGCTCCTGCCAACCTAGCAGTTCGAAAGCAAGAAATTGCAAGTAGATAAATAGGTACCGCTTCGGTGGGAAGATAACGGCGTTCCGTGCGCCTCGGCGTCTACTCATGCCGGCCACATGACCACAGAAACGTCCTCGGACAGCGCTGGCTCTTCGGCTTGGAAACGGAGATGAGCACCACATCTCTAGAGCTGGATTCGATTGGCTTTTGAGCAAGGGAACCTTTACCTTACTGGTTCTATGGCATGACAGGGCAATGGAGACCAAGAAATGCAGACCTTGATGTCGTCAGCACTGCCTACCCCAAATCCAAAAACGATTTCTCCTAACAGACTGAACAGCAAGGGGGGATAAAACCGAACCTTGAGGAGCCCCATGAGGCAAGCCCCCCCCCATGACAACTGGTCCCCAACAGCAACTTTCTGCGTCCTGCCCCAACGGAACAAGTTAAACCAGCCCAGGGTGGAACGTTTAATCCCTCTCTCTCCCTTGGTACCCTTGCCAAGTTCACATCACCATCCATTTTTCAAAACCAGCAGCTAGAATGGAAAACCCAATAAGAATTGCAGGAAGCCCATGAATTCCTTTTGGGGGGGGGGTTATTGTATTAAATACTGGGGGGAAGCTATGTTCTAAAATACAAAACCTTAGAACAAACTAAGATTACAAAGAACCACAATGTCAGAAATGGAGAATACCATCCCATCCCACCTACAGAAAATCTTATTCTCCAAGTCAAAATTGAGCCAATGTCTATGGCTATAAGCACTCGTCCAGTTCCACCATTTAAGGGGCTCCCACCATACACTTAGCTATGTCAGAATCATTAACTTTTTGTCTTACATGGTATTGCAAGACTTTAGCAACTTCTTGTTTCTTGAATATCCATTCAAACATTCGTTTTATTTATTCATTTGCATTTTTAGTAGTCCCCCTTTCCCCCAAGGACTCATGGTGGATTACGCACAGTGAGTCCGTACAATCAAGAAAATGGGATATTCAATAACCGATCCATTCGAAATTTTAGAAGTCTGGAACCGCCAGAGAGAACCGAAGCATACAATAAGTATTCATATAGCACATTAAGGGGCAGAGAAGTTACACGATAAGATTTTACTTGCTATAAGCTATGCACAGCAGTATAGACCGCTTGCAGGGAGGGCAGGGGTAAAAATACCTAAATAAATAAAATATAAATAAATAAAATAAATCCTACATAATTTTGTGAACCATTTTGTGCGGTGTATATATCCAGGATTCTAGGTGTGAACTGGATAATTTGTGGTTTCTTTTAGCAAGGGTGGATTTTAATATTACACTGGCAGTTGCCAAGTTCTTTTCTCAGTTGATTAAGATTAAAAATCACTAAATTTTTATATTATATAGACGCATGTATTAAATAAAGTTCCTTCTGAAGAGTCTTAGCATGACTCTTCAGAGCCGAACTGGCTGTAAGAGCAGTATCAGAGGAGGAGGAGGAGGAGGAGGAGATTGGATTTATACCCCACCCTTCACTTGGAGTCTCAGAGCGGCTTACAAACTCCTTTCCCTCCCCCTCCCCACAACAGACACCCTGTGAGGTGGGTGGGGCTGAGAGAGCTCTTTCCAGAACTGCCCTTTCAAAGACAGCTCTGACAGAACTATGGCTTGCCCAAGGTGATCCATAAGAACATAAGAGACACCAATGTTGGATCAGGCCCATCCAGCCCAACACTCTGTATCACACAGTGGCCAGAAATACCAGTGCCATCAGGAGGTCCACCAGTGGGGCCAGGACATTAGAAGCCCTCCCACTGTTGACCCCCCAAGCACCAAGAAGACAGAGCATCACTTGCCCCAGAGTCCCTATCTATACCTTGTGGCTAATAGCCACTGATGGACCTCTGCTCCATATGCTTATCTAATTCCCTTTTGAAGCCGTCCATGCTTGTAGCCGCCACCACTTCCTGTGGCAGTGAATTCCATGTGTTAATCACTCTTTGGGTGAAGAAGTACTTCCTTTTATCCGTTCTAACCCGACCGCTCTGCAGTTTCATGGAGTGCCCACGAGTTCTTGTATTGTATCCAGCAGCTGTATTGTATTGTATTGTATTGTATCCAGCAGCTGCAAGTGGAGGAGTGGGGAATCAAACCCAGTTCTCCCAGATTAGACTCTGTGCACTTAACCACTACACCTAACTGGCAATATAAACCTATCAACTTTGCAGAAACGTCCTCTTGAATAGTTCAGTTTTGTATCGTTTGCAGGAAGCCAGGAGAGGCGGGGCTTTCCTGACACGAGGCAGGCCATTCCACAAAGTGGGAGTGGCAACATGAGACACTGATAAGTCTCAGAGTCCTAGTGAGTAATCACATTTGATGAAAACCCTGTTCTAGATAGCTGTGGGACGACACGCTTCTCCAAGCAAGGGTTGTATTCTCATCTGTGAGATGGTAAAACCCCAAATATGTAGTTCAGGCTACAAGACTACAGCTGCAATCCTACACACACTCGCTAGCGAGTACAACAGGTCTTACTTACGGGCAGGGCTATTTTTGGGCAAGAACGCACAGGAACGGAGTTCCGGCTGGCTCCTGAGTTGGCCACGCCGAGCACGAACTCATTAGCATAATAGGCCACACCCAACATCAGAAACTCATTAGGACTGGCTACATTAGGGGTGTGTGGCCTAACATGCAAAGGAGTTCCTGCTACAAAAAGAGCCCTGGCCGTTTTGACAACAAACAAGGTAAACAGAATAAGAAGCAAAAGGTGGGTGTGGCTGGATGACCACACCTCTGGTAACATGGGGGCGTGGACACACCTCTGGTAACATGGGGGCGTGGTAACATGCTAATGTGCTGCACTGTCCCGGGTGTGGCCTAATATGCTAATGAGTTTCTGCTGTTGGGTGTGGCCTGTTATGCTAATGAGTTCCAGCTGGGCTTTTTCTACCAAAAAAGCCCTGCTTACGGGTAAACATATACTGCAAAAGGGAATGCTTCCATTCTTATTGGGATTGTTGAAAAACGGGAGCGGGGCCCTGGGCAGTAACTGAGTGTTCCTTTCTTGGGGAACGGTCCAGGGCGTCACGCACAAGATTCTTCCCCAGCCCATTTCTAATTGTACCCAGGCACAGCATGAAGACAGGGATCAGTGATGTTATCTTTGCAGTAATCCCTAAGCAAAACCCATCAGCGTCTCTCATACTGACTTTGAATCTACTGAACCATTCACTGACTGGATATACACAGCGCACCATTGGCCTCTTGTGAATTTTTTATAATAATGATACTTTGCAACAGTGTAATAGGAAGTATGCCCCTACTTTCTACACAGAAGTCACCGTAAACAAGGCACGGTGTACATTCAAAACACAGCATCACATATATGACGTCTCTCCTTCAGCATTAAGATATGTACGAAACTATCTGAAATGATTAGCAGCGTTCTGTCACTAAGTTGCTCCGAACAACCATTCCCTTTAATGTTTCTCTTTTATAGTGTGTGTGTGTGTGTGTGTGTGTGTATATATATATATATATATA